GCACTGACAGACCACTGGGTCCTGGCACTACAGACCCTGGGTCCCGCACCGATAGGCCGTATCCTGACACTGAGAGACCATTGGGTCTGGCACTGACAGACCTCTGGGTCCTGCACTGACAGACCTCTGGGCCCTGGCACTGAAAGACCACTGGGCACCAGACCATTGGGTCCTGGCACTGACAGACCTCTCCTGGCACTCATAGACCACTGGGTCCTGGCACGACAGACCACTGTCCTGGCACGACAGACCCCGGGTCTGGCACACCAAAGACCACTGGGTCCTGGCACTAAAGACCACTGGGTCCTGGCACTGACCTACCACTGGGTCCTGGCACCGATAGGCCGTATCCTGGCACTGAGAGACCATTGGGTCCTGGCACTGACAGACCACTGTCCTGGCACTGAAAGACCACTGGGTCCTGGCACTGACAGACCACTGGGTCCCGGCACTAAAAGACCATTAGTTACTGTCTCTGACCTACCGCTGGGTCCTGGCACTGATAGGCCGTATCCTGGCACTGACAGACCATTCGGTCCTGGCACACTGACAGACCACTGGGTCCTGGCACTGAAAGACCATTGGTTACTGTCTCTGACCTACCACTGGGTCCTGCACCGATAGGCCGTATCCTGGCACTGACAGACCATTAGGTCCTGGCACTGACAGACCCCAGGTCCTGGTACGACAGACCTCTGGGTCCTGGCACTGACAGACCACTGGGTCCGCACTGAAAGACCATTGTTACTATCTCTGATCTACCACTGGGTCCTGGCACTGACAGACCACTGGGTCCTGGCACTGGCAGACCACTGGGTCCTGGCACTGACAGACCTCTGGGTCCTGGCACTGACAGACCACTGGGTCCTGGCACTGAAAGACCACTGGGTCCTGGCACTGACAGACCACTGGTTCCTGGCACTGAGACCATTAGTTACTGTCTTGACCTACCACTGGGTCCTGGCACTGACAGACCACTGGGTCCTGGCACTGACAGACCACTGGGTCCTGCAAACATTGGTTACTATCTCTGACCTACCACCAGGTCCTGGCACTGACAGACCACTGGGTCCTGGCACTAGAGGCCGCTGGGTCTTGGCACTGATAGACCACTGGGTCCTGGCACTGGCAGATCATCCTGGCACTGACAGACCCTGGGTCCTGGCATAGGCCGTACCCGGAACTGAAAGACCATTAGTTAATGTCTCTGACCTATCACTGGGTCCTGCACTGACAGACCACTGGGTCCTGGCACTGGCAGACCACTGGGTCCTGGCACTGACAGACCTCGGTCCTGGCACTGAAGACCACTGGGTCCTGGCACTGAAAGACCACTGGGTCCTGGCACTGACAGACCACTGGCCCACTGACAGACCTCGGGTCCTGCACTGACAGACCAGGGTCCTGGCACTGACAGACCTCTGGGCACTGACAGACCCTGGGTCCTTAGGCACTGAAAGACCATTGGTTACTGTCTCTGACCTTCCACTAGGTCCTGGCACTGACAGACCACTTGGTCCTGGCACTGAAAGACCATTGGTTACTGTCTCTGACCTTCCACTAGGTCCTGGCACTGACAGACCACTTGGTCCTGGCACTGAAAGACCATTGGTTACTGTCTCTGACCTACCGTCCTGGCACCAGGCCGTATCCTGGCACTGACAGACCATTAGGTCCTGGCACTGACAGACCTCTGGGTCCTGGCACTGACAGACCATTAGGTCCCACGACAGACCTCTGGGTCCTGCAACTGAAAGACCATTGGTTACTGTCTCTGACCTTCCACTAGGTCCTGGCACTGACAGACCACTTGGTCCTGGCACTGACAGACCATTGTTATTGTCTCTGATCTACCACTGGGTCCTGGCACTGACAGACCTCTGGGTCCTGGCACTGCCAGACCAGTGGAACCTAACTGACAGCTCAGTGGGCCTGGCACTGACAGACCACTGGGTCCTGGCACTGACAGACCTGGAGTCCTGGCACCGATAGGCCCCTGGGTACTGGCACTGACAGACCATTGGGTCCTGGCACGACAGACCTCTGGGTCCTGGCACGACAGACCACTGGATCCTGACACTGACAGACCCCCGGGTCCTGGCACTGGCCTACCACTGGATCCTGGCACTGACAGACCCTGGGTCCTGGCACGAAAGACCAATGGTTACTGTCTCTGACCTACCACAGGGTCCTGGCACTGACAGACCCTTGGGTCCCTGCTGACAGACCACTGGGTCCTGGCACTGACAGACCACTCTCCTGCACAGACCATTGGGTCCGGCACCGATACTCGTATCCTGGCACTGACAGACCTCTGGTTCCTGGCACTGACAGACCTCTGGGTCCTGGCACTGACAGACCACTGGCTCCTGGTACTGCAGACCCCTGGGTCCTGGCACTGACAGACCACTGGGTCCTGGCACTGACAGACCACTGGCTCCTGGCACTGACAGACCATTGGGTCCTGGCACCGATAGGCCGTATCCTGGCACTGACAGACCACTGGGTCCTGCACTGACAGACCATTGGGTCCTGGCACTGACAGACCTCTGGATACTGGGACTGACATACCACTGGGTCCCTGGCACTGACAGACCTCTGGATCCTGGCACTGACAGACCACTCGGTCCTGGCACTGAAAGACCATTGGTTACTGTCTCTGACCTACCACTGGGTCCTGGCACCGATAGGCCGTATCCTGGCACTGACAGACCACTGGGTCCTGCCACTGACAGACCACTGGTTCCTGGCATTGACGACACATTGGGTCCTGGCACTGACAGACCCTCTGGGTCCTGGCACTGACAGACCTCTGGGTCCTCACTGACAGACCACTGGCTCCCTGCTGACAGACCACTGGGTCCTGGCACTGACAGACCCTGTAGGTCCTGCTGATAGACCACTGGCTCCTGGCACTGACAGACCCTGGGTCCTGGCACTGACAGACCACTGGGTCCTGGCACTGACAGACCACTGGTTCCTGGCATTGACAGACCATTGGGTCCTGGTACTGACAGACCTCTGGGTCTGGCACTGACAGACCACTGGCTCCTGGCACTGACAGACCAATGGGTCCTGGTGACAGACCATTGGTTACTGTCTCTGACCTACCATTGGGTCCTGGCACCAACAGACCTCTGGTTCCTGGCACTGAAAGACCTTGGTTACTGTCTCTGACCTACCACTGGGTCCTGGCACTGACAGACCATTAGGTCCCTGGCAGACCACATTAGGTCCTGCTGACAGACCACTGGGTCCTGGCACTGAAACCACTGGGTCCTGGCACTGACAGACCACTGGTTCCTGGCACTGAAGACCATTGGGTCCTGGCACTGAAAAGACCATTCGTTACTGTCTCTGACCTACCACTGGGTCCTGGCACTGACAGACCATTGGGTCCTGGCACTGTCAGACCTCTGGGTCCTGGCACCGATAGGCGTATCCTACTTGACAGACCTCTGGGTCCTGGCACTGACAGACCACTGGAGTCCTGGCACTGACAGACCATTGGGTCCTCACTGACAGACCACTGGTTCCTAGCACTGACAGACCACTGGGTCCTAGCACTGACAGACCATTGGGTCCTGGCACTGACAGACCATTGGTTACTGTCTCTGACCTACCATTGGGTCCTGGCACTGACAGACCTCTGGGTCCTGGCACCGATAGGCCGTATCCTGGCACTGAAAGACCATTGGGTCCTGGCACTGACAGACCACTGGGTCCTGGCACTGACCGACCACTGGGTCCTGGCACTGACAGACCTCTGGGTCCCACTGACAGACCACTGGGTCCCGGCACTGAAAGACCACTGGGTCCTGTCACTGACAGACCACTGGGTCCTGGCACTGAAAGACCATTAGTTACTGTCTCTGACCTACCGCTGGGTCCTGGCACTGATAGGCCATATCCTGGAACTGACAGACCATTGGGTCCTGGCACTGTCAGACCACTGGGTCCGGCACTGAAAGACCATTGGTTACTGTCTCTGACCTACCACTGAGTCCTGGCACTGACAGACCATTAGGTCCTGGCACTGACAGACCTCTGGGTCCTGGCACTGAAAACCATTGGTTACTGTCTCTGACCTACCACTGGGTCCTGGCACTGACAGACCTCTGGGTCCTGGCACTGAAAGACCATTGGTTACTGTCTCTGACCTACCACTGGGTCCTGGCACTGACAGACCTCTGTCCTGCACTGAAAGACCATTTTACTGTCTCTGACCTACCACTGGTCCTGGCACTGACAGACCGGTCCTGGCACTGAAAGACCATTGGTTACTGTCTCTGACCTACCACTGGGTCCTGGCACTGACAGACCACTGGGTCCTGCACTGAAAGACCATTGGTTACTGTCTCTGACCTACCACTGGGTCCTGGCACTGACAGACCTCTGGGTCCTGGCACTGAAAGACCATTGGTTACTGTCTCTGATCTATCACTGTCCTGGCACTGACAGACCTCTGGGTCCCTGGCACTGAAAGACCATTGGTTTCTGTTCTGACCTACCACTGGGTCCTGGCACTGACAGACCATTAGTCCTGGCACTGACAGACCATTAGGTCCTGGCACTGACAGACCACTGGTTCCTGGCACTGACAGACCATTAGGTCCTGGCACTGACAGACCACTGGGTCCTGGCACTGAGAAACCACTGGGTTCTGGCACTGACAAACCATTGGATCCTGGCACTGAGAGACCCCTGGGTCCTGGCACTGAAAGACCTCTGGTTCCTGGCACTGAAAGACCATTGGGTCCTGGCACTGAAAGACCATTCGTTACTGTCTCTGACCTACCACTGGGTCCTGGCACCGATAGGCCGTATCCTGCCACTGACAGACCATTGGGCCTGGCACTGACAGACCACTGGGCCCTGGCACTGAAAGACATTGTCCTGGCACTGACAGACCACTGGGTCCTGGCACTGACAGACCACTGGATCCTGGCACTGACAGACCATTAGGGTCCTGGCACTGACAGACCTCTGTCCTGGCACTGAAAGACCATTGTTACTGTCTCTGACCTACCACTGGGTCCTGGCACTGACAGACCATTAGGTCCTGGCACTGACAGAATCAAGTCCTGGCACTGACAGACCACTGGGTCCTGCACTGACAGACCATTGGGTCCTGGCACTGACAGACCACTGGGTCCTGGCACTGACAGACCACTGGGTCCTGGCACTGACAGACCACTGGGTCCTGGCACAAAAGACCATTAGTTACTGTCTCTGACCTACCACTGGGTCCTGGCACTGACAGACCATTAGGTCCTGGCACTGACAGACCATTAGGTCCTGGCACTGACAGACCATGATCCTGGCACTGACAGACCACTGGTCCTGCACTGACAGACCACTGGGTCCTGCACTGAAAGACCATTAGTTACTGTCTCTGACCCACCACTGGTCCTGGCACTGACAGACCATTAGGTCCTGCACTGACAGACCTCTGGGTCCTGCACTGAAAGACCATTAGTTACTGTCTCTGACCTACCACTGGGTCCTGGCACTGACAGACCACTGGGTCCTGGCACTGAAAGACCATTAGTTACTGTCTCTGACCTACCACTGGGTCCTGACACTGACAGACCATTAGGTCCTGGCACTGACAGACCATTAGGGTCCTGGCACTGACAGACCTCTGGGTCCTGGCACTGACAGACCATTAGGTCCTGGCACTGACAGACCTCTGGGTCCTGCACTGGAAAGACCATTAGTTACTGTCTCTGACCTACCACTGGTCCTGGCACTGACAGACCATTAGGCCTGGCACTGACAGACCACTGGGTCCTGCACTGAAAGACCATTAGTTACTGTCTCTGACCTACCACTGTCTGCACTGACAGACCATTAGGTCCTGGCACTGACGGACCATTAGGTCCTGCACTGACAGACCACTGGGTCCTGGCACTGACAGACCACTGGGTCCTGCACTGACAGACCTCTGGGTCCTGGCACTGAAAGACCATTGGTTTCTGTCTCTGACCTACCACTGGGTCCTGGCACTGACAGACCATTAGGTCCTGGCACTGACAGACCTCTGGGTCCTGGCACTGAAAGACCATTAGTTACTGTCTCTGACCTACCACTGGGTCCTGGCACTGATAGGCCATATCCTGGAACTGACAGACCATTTGGTCCTGGCACTGCCAGACCAGTGGAACCTGGCACTGTCAGCCCACTGGGTCCTGGCACTGACAGACCACTGGATCCTGACACTGACAGACCACTGGGTCCTGGCACTGACCAACCACTGGATCCTGACACTGACAGACCACTGGGTCTTGGCACTGACCAACCACTGGGTCCTGACACTGACAGACCAATGGGTCCTGGCACCCATAGGCCCCTGGGTCCTGACACTGATCTACCGCTTGGTCCTGGAACTGACAGACCACTAGGTCCTGGTACTGACAGACCTCTAGGTCCTGGCAGTGATCTACCACTGGGTCCTGGTGCACTGACAGACCACTGTCCTGGCATTGAGACCAATGCGTCCTGGCACTGACAGACCACAGGGTCCTGGCACTGACAGACCACTGGAGTCCTGGCACTGAAGATCCTGTGGGTCCTGGCACTGACAGACCACTGGGTCCTAGTACTGACAGACCTCTAGGTCCTGGTACTGATCTACCACTGGGTCCTGCACCCACAGACCCTGTCCTGGCACTGACAGACCACTGTCCTGGCACTGACAGAGACCCCTGGGTCCTGGCACTGAAAGACCACTGGGTCCTGGCACTGACAGACCACTGGGTCCTGCACTTGATAGACCTGTGTCCTGGCACTGACAGACCACTGGGTCCTGGTACTGACAGACCTCTAGGTCCTGGTACCTGACAGACCACAGGGTCTTGGCACTGACAGACCACTGGGTCCTGGCACTGACAGACCACTGGGTCCTGGCACCGACAGACCACTGGGTCCTGGCACCGACCTACCACTGGGTCCTGGCACTGACAGACCACTGGGTCCTGGCACCGACAGACCACTGGTTCCTGGCACTGACCTACCACTTGGTCCTGGCACTGACAGACCACTGGGTCCTGGCACTGACAGACCACTGGGTCCTGGCACTGACAGACCACTGGGTCCTGGCACTGACAGACCAATACCTGTGGATACTAGTACAGGTCGACCTCTCGGTCATGATGTGTCAGCAACCTCTGTCAGCCCAGAGGAAGTGTCGTCCCTCGTGGCAGTAGAGACAACAATATTGTCATCAAGTGAAAGTGTTCCTGGTGTGAGTTACCCCATCACAACTCCTTCCGCCGCTTCTGCTACTTCCCCAAGTGTTTCACCAGTCACCCAGGAGGATGTTACTACTCCATCACCAGTGTCGCCGTATACTGAGGTGGTTTACGTCGACATCACTACTCTCACTGTTCCTGATACCAGCAGCGTCTCCGCCACGACGGAGGAATATGGTATTATTCCTACAACTGTCTCTGGTGATATTTCTCATGAGGTTAAGATCCCGTCAGAGGGAGAATTAACGTCACCACCACCTCCAGGCTTTACTGAGGACGTTGAAGCTGCGACAAGATCGACGGTAGATGAAGGGGAATCGGAGACGTACCCCACCACCACTGAGTCTGCCCAAGTCACTGTTTCTGCCTTCCCTATCCTTAACCCCGACCTCCTCCCCTCTACCCAGTCTCCTACAGACGTACCCTCTCGCCCTTGTGGTGAGAACAGCGACTGTTGGGGGGATGAAGTTTGCTGGGATGGTGAGTGTGTGGACGGGTGTGCGCTGGTGCGGTGCGGCTACAAGGCACAGTGCGCCACCGTCCGTCACCGTCCCGTGTGTACCTGTTTGTCTGGTCACCGAGGCAACCCGCTCGTCGAGTGCCTCCCACAACTAGGTACTTGGCCGGGGCCACACCGGCACCTCAACCACAGAGTATTTATACATGTCAACAATTTATTTGAGAACACATAGTCAGCCACCATATGTTTGGAGGTCGTTTCTCTCACACTCATTCTCGTGTATTTCCCATTTTCCATGTTTTTTTATTTCAATTTCCTGTTTTTTCGCTTCGATTCTGCATGTGTTTGTGTGAATGTCGTGGAGACTTACTGTAGTGCATTTCTTTTATTCCAGCTGTGTTGCGCTTCTCGTATTGATTTATTCGCCATCTTTATTTTGTATCTACCATAAAGTTCTTCTAATCCTGTTTGTAGATGAAATTGTTCCTTATTGTTATGTACTCACTTGACCCTGGCTCCCTCAGTACACCTGTCGCGCTACTTCTTGACGGAGTGGCCACACCTGCCTTTACGACTGACATATTGTGCTACTGACTAACTCACTCTCTATAACTGTGTCCTCACTCCTGCCCCTCCAGTCACAACACCACGCCCACCCACACCCCGCCCCCCGGTAGGCGTCCTCACCCCACGCCCACCCACATCCTCTTCTGAATGCCGGACGAATCGCCAGTGCGGTGAGATGGAACTTTGTCACAGCGGGTCGTGTGTTGACCCGTGTGTGGTGGGGTCTCCGTGTGGCCTGAACGCTGAGTGCACCGTCAGGCGTCACCGTCCACGCTGTTGGTGCCCTCAAGGTTACCAAGGCGACCCCCACCTCTTGTGCCGCCCAGGTAGTCCCTCCACCCTCCTCCATCCTCCACTGTGTGTGTGTGTGTGTGTGTGTGTAGTTTAGTATGTTTGGATGTGTATCTGTGTGTATAGTTGTGCGTGTGTGTGTATTTTAGTATGTTTGGATATGTATCTGTATATACATTTGCGTGTGTGTGTGTGTGTGTGTGTGTGTGTGTGTGTGTGTGTGTGTGTGTGTGTCTCCATAATACCCATGTCCCACAATAAGTGATCATAAGTGACCAGTGTTGTATATAGCACTATGTTCACCCCTGGACACCTTCTCCCCCCTCACCTTGTACTCACTGTTTACACACCTCTCACGGTAGTCTTGTTGATATGATACACCCAGTTTCTGAAAATGCCTAGGTTAGGTTAGGTTGGGTTCATTTGGGTTAGATTAGGTTGATATGTGTTAGATTAGGTCGATTTGGGTTAGGTTAGGCTAATTTGGGTTGGTTTAGGTTAGATTTGGTTGAAATTGGGTTGGGTTAAGTTAGGAGCCCGTTTCAAAAATTGAGTCAAAAATTTTGCTCAATTCATGATCAGGCAATTTCAGAAACGGGGCGTAATTTATACTACAATCACACTACTCCATGTGTGTTTCTTATGTACTGTATATCAATCGCAGTATTTCTGTTGCTTATATATAATCAATCACAGTATTTCTGTTGCTTTTAATCAATCACAGTATTTCTTTTGCTTTTAATCAATCACAGTATTTCTGTTGCTTTTAATCAACCACAATATTTCTGTTTATTTTCATCAATCACAGTATATCTTAAGTCATCTTGGTGATTACACACCTCAATTACACAATTTACGTATTATCAATCACATTATTTGCTTCTTATCAATTACTAATTGGTTATCAATCACAGAGGGACAATTTCTCCATTGCTTTTCCTTTATGCTATTATTGTACCATTAACATGTATGGCAACTTGGAACTATACTCACAGTTTCTTCGTGTCTCTTGACGCTAGGACATATTGCTCTCAGCGGTGGCTTGTTTCCCCCCCCCCCTCCACAAAAAAAAATAATCACATCCCAAAACTTTTATCGAGGAATTGGAGGAAAAAGCTCATCCCCTGCCTTAGTTAACGAGGGATGGGTAGTGTGAACCATCCCTTGCCTTAGTTAACGAGGGATGGGTAGTGTGAACCATCCCCTGCCTTAGTTAACGAGGGATGGGGGATGTGAACTCCCATTTCCCAGGAGGTAAAGGTTTTGGCTCTCCCTGACACTGCCTGACTCCGCTGTCCTCTCCTGACGTAGCACCACCCACCCCGTCCCCTGGCTGCAGCTCGGATCTGGCCTGCCCGGACGACAAAGTGTGTTATAACCGCGAGTGCCGCAACCCCTGTGACTTGGCCAACCCCTGCGCCGCCAAGGCTAAGTGCCGCACCCTAGCCCACCGGCCCCTCTGTACCTGCGACCCGGGCTACTCGGGCGACCCCTATACTTTCTGCAGTCTTGACAATGTCATCAGTAAGATTACTGCCTTCCTCTTGTTTGACTGTCATGTTTACCCCTCACTATGTTCCTTCTGGCATGCTTCACATCCTCCTCCATCTTGGATATATTATATATAATATATATGATGTTCACTAATGGATCTAATATAATAATGTAATAATATAAGGTATAACAGCCACACTAGTGATATAGCGCCACTACCACCTCACGGGAGAGCCCCTACTAACCTGGCCCCTCACAGTTACGGGTTGCCGGGGTGACGCTGACTGCCCCTCCACACAAGCTTGTATTAACAACGAATGTCGGTACCCGTGCGAGGATGACCCCTGTGGGACTAACGCCGAATGCATCAACAGCGACCACAGTGCCCAGTGCAGGTGTCGCAACGGGTTCCAGGGTGACCCCTTCAAGGGATGCTCCCCCGGTAAGTCAGACTTCTCCCTGATCCTTCCTCGCCCGACCACCTCCGTCCTCTTACTCAGTTTGTCTCCGTTTTCTATTCCACTCCTTTCCGAGGTTTTGTGGGGGTGACTTTTCCAATATATATTATAGGTAAAGTCATTTTCCTCAGATCCCGCAATGTTTATTTTCTCCAATCTGTTATGTGTTACAGGAAGTATAACTGCTCTCAGATGTGTAGTCCACCGCGAGTGACACATACTTACAGTGGACTTGATAACGTTGATCTTACCGTATGCTTCACTGTTTACATTTCTTGTACACAGCACTTGAGTGATGTTATCTCCCACTTCCTCACTTAACTTCTCCGATTTTTTGTATCTGTCTGTCTGTCTGTTGTTTACGCTTAACTTTGTTTGTTGATGTTTGATTATTCTAACATTTGCTTTTTGATTTAATGTCTAATAATTGTATGTTACAAGTGCTTATCATTTAGTTCAACTGACAAAGCAAATAATATTTTATCTCCCAGAATATCTTCACAGTTAATATCACTAGTATAGAGCAGATATCATTCACCATTATTTTGTTAAGATAACATAGTCATTGTCATTAACTCCCCAGCAGCTGACTTGACTAATAATAATAATGCTATATAGCGAGTGTTCATTAACCTGGAGGGCAGTAATAACGTGTACCTACTCACCTGACTGATTGACTGTGTGGTGACAGTTGGCTGCTTCACCCCTGATGACTGTGCTGTGACAGAGGAGTGCTACAGCGGGCAGTGTGTCAGCCCTTGTCGTCCTGGCAATAACCCCTGCCCGCCCACTGCCGTCTGCCGCACCCTGGCTCATGCCGCCACCTGCATGTGTCCCCCGGGCCACACAGGTCTTCCTCTACAGGGGTGCTCGCCTCTCCCCACCTGCGGCTACAACTCTGACTGCCCAGCGGACAAGGCGTGTATCGAGCGTGTGTGTGGTGACCCATGCGGGGCAGCGCCCTGCCCCCAGGGGTCTCTCTGCCGCGTTGAGGACCACCGCCCCATCTGCCTGTGTCCGCCGGGCTATACGGGAAACCCGGAGGTGGGTTGTGTCCGTAGTGGGTGTGAGAGTGACAGTGAGTGTCCCCGTAACCGTGTGTGCCGGAAAGGGACCTGTGTGGACCCCTGCCAGGACTGTGGCCAGGGGGCGCTGTGTCAGGCGCTGGCCGGCACCGTCATATGCCTCTGTCCTGTTGGGTTCACGGGAAACCCTCGATTTTCTTGTGACTCAAGTAAGGCTCACCTTTCTTGCTTATTCTTTCTTTTTATTTTTGTCAACATTTACGTTCTCCAGTAAGACTTGCTTCTTTTACCTCTTTTTCCATATCACGTTGTTATGACATGAAGATAGTAGAGTGATTTACTTGTTGACTCTTTAACTCCACCTCCTGGTAGTGTTTGTTGGGGTGTAACGCCCCCCTTCTTTGTTGCCTCTTGCCATACTGCCTGACTGCCTGACCCATTGTCCCCACCTGACTCTGACACCCTCTCAGTCCCCGGCTTCTGCTCCTCGGACATCGAGTGCCAACTACGGGAGGCGTGTTTGGACGGGGAGTGCCGGGATCCCTGCACCACAGTGCCTCCCCCTTGTGGTGTGGGAGCTCGCTGCCGCGTCATCAACCACCGCACCATCTGCCAGTGCCCCGACGGGTACGAGGGTGACCCGCGAGATCTGTGCACACCAGGTAACCCACACCACCTGTGCACCAAGACCACACCTCCTTCCCGTCTCTCTCTCTCCTCCCCCACCACTATACTGGAAGGCTGGCTGCTGGGCTCTTGTGGTTCATGCATGACACTTGACTATGACTGATCCTGTGTGACTTCTGCCTCTATCATAAATAAAGCTCCAGTACGAGTAAGCTGCAGCGTCTGGCGTCCACTCCACCCTTTCATAACATGCTTATGGAGGCTACGCCAAACGAGCGTACGCTTGCCCTCTTCCTGAAGTGGCACTCTTTTATGGTAGCAGCATCAGTCCTCCCCTGGGTGGACTTGATCTCACACTCCTCATAACATTCCCTGGTCACTAACTAACTGAGTTACTGCATGACGGATCCACCACTATAATAGTTTCTCAGCAGCTGTCACCTCACCACCGACAGCTGCTTTGTTCCTCTGTGCACGGAAACACTCACTCATTTATTTTTACTATCGATTATCTTAAAACTAACTGCACTGCTCTCAAGTATACTGTTTTAGGTTCAAGTTATGACTTTTTCACCCACTAGAGTATTTCCATTGAACATTTGATCTTATGGTGTGTCAGGGTGCTCCGGGCGGCTCTCCACATCCAGGCTGACCTCAGGAGTAGTTATCTTCAAGTGGAGTCTTTTGAGTAGAAACTTGTGAAGGTTCTGACACATCATTCACACACCCTTCAGTATTGTCCTTGTTTGGCTGTTGTTCTGTAAAGACTTGACCACAACTAACGTGACCATAACTGACTTATACTTATCTGTCAACATGTTTAGTTCACACTCATTCTGACGCCTTCGTTCTCCTGTTAAAAAAGAAAAAAAGATACAATGTTTCCAAAGAAGAAAACTAGTTTGAACGACAAGCCGCGCTCCAGAACATTTCCCGACGCGTGTTTACCGCCACTTTCCCACTGTGATGTCAATTCCAGAAGACTTCCAGTTTGAAGACGCAATCGGCCAGTCTTTCCTCTTTAATGACACTCTCCTGCCTTCTCTCTCCCTCTAGTGAGCACCCCAACACCGGGCTGCCAGTACAACCAAGACTGCCCATCCAATAAGGCCTGTGACCGCCTTTCACGTAATTGTATTGACCCGTGTGAAGACGCCTGCGCACCCACCGCCATTTGCCAAGCCATTGACCACCGCCCCTACTGCCAGTGCCCCCCCGGCTACAGTGGCAACGCGAACATCGAGTGTGCAATACGTGAGTTAATCTTTGTCGTTTTCTCTGTAAAGGTTTCTGTGCTACTAACGCTAATCTGTGTACACTTTTTTGCTTATTGATTTCTTAGTGAGTATAACCCCTAGCTTTGATTACTAATGAAAGGCTTCATTATAAGGCTGTAACATAGATAGAACGCTCCCCACATACCCCTCCACCACACTCACCACATACCCCTCCACCACACTCACCACATACCCCTCCACCACACTCACCACATACCCCTCCACCACACTCACCACATACCCCTCCACCACACTCACCACATACCCCTCCACCACACTCACCCTGCTCACCACACCATCAGCACTAACACCACCTGGGTTGACCTTTGTCTGTAGTGCCGTGCTTCTCAGACGCCGAGTGTGGGGAAGGAAGGTCATGTGTGGAGAGAGTGTGTGTAGACCTGTGTAGTGTGGTGACGTGCCCAGGTGACGCCCTCTGCTCCTCCACTGGTGACTGTGTGTGTTCTCCCGGGGTCACCTCCCAACGCTGTCCACCCAGTAAGACTAATGACCTCTATACCTTTGACCTTGCCGACTGTCTAATCTAATGATGATCTAAACTAACCTGACCTAACCTATGACCTTGCCTACTATCTAGCCCAATTATAACCTAACCTAACCTAACCTAACCTAACCTCGATAATGTTTGGTCGTTCTTGTACCTTTTAACATTGTGTATATTTTTCCAACACAAATACCATTCCCTTAACTGTTTTAACTAGTTTCTAACTGATGTTTTAACAAATTACAAAGTCACAGTTACTCAAGTCTCTCTCGACATTTGACTTTAAGAGTAAACACATCAGAGCTCTCTTAGTTAACTTGTAGGTCACCAATTTACTAAACTTCACCCACTCTCGGTGTCCTCAGCAACCATCACAACCCAAGAACGTTATTTGGTTGCTGGTTATTAAGGTTGAGTTAGTTAACTTAAGAATTATGATGGTTACTCAAGACACCAGAATTAGGACCTTAGTTGATTGGTGAATGTTAATTAGACTCCGTTACCAACTATTGTTTAGCCTGACCTGCTGTATAGGTCTGTAGTGATCCAGCTGCCCTAGTGACCCAGTAGTGAGGTACTTGGTGACCAAGACACCCAGTCACCAGGGTAGGGGCGAACACTAACCCTAGGTTGCCTCAGCAGTCACGACGGACGAGTGTGAGGAGGACTCGAAGTGCCCTGCAGGGAAGGCATGCATCGCCACCACCTGTCTTGACCCTTGCCAGGTTGCCAACCCCTGCGCCAGTGACGCACTCTGCTCCGTCGCCAACCATGCCCCCATCTGCACCTGTCCCAAGGGCAGCTTCGGCGACCCGTACCTGACTTGTTCTATCAGTGAGACAAACAATTGGTGACGCCGCAGGGAGAGTGTAGACTTGTGTGCCTGTGCAGCATGGAGACGCATTATATTATAATTATCATATTTATTAGTTTCATACAAATTACTAATCAATTATGAATTGAATTTTAATTTATACTTCAATAAATGTTAGTCGCGGTGTTAGATGTTGAAGCCTGTGTGAATTATCTGGTGTTGACAACATAAATACCCTGAGGTGCTGTAACACAGGAACACACGCTACGCTGCTCCCACCCGAAGTACTTTATGAAGTTGTGTTCATCAGTGTTGGGGAGAGTGAGTGGAGTGTCAGTTGGCCAAGGTGGCTCTGTCATCACCCTCTTGCTTCCCACAAAGGTGGAACCAACTCCAGTAGTGCATGACTGCCTTCTCTTGTTCTGTGTGAGATACGTTACACTCTGATGGGATGGATGGTCTGACTTACTTAACCTTGACGAAAAGAACAACTTAGTGATAACCGACAGTTTTTAATGTTGCCAGCACCACGACGAGCTTTGTCCATGACTGCTTGGGAGACCCAGGTCTTACCCAAGAGGACAGTGACAGTTAGAGTTGGTCTGCTTATTAACCTCGACCTGTTGTCCCCCAACAGCTGTAGGTTGCCGAGACGACAGCAAGTGCCCCTCCACCCAAGCCTGCATCAATAACAAGTGCCAGGACCCGTGCGTTTGTGGCAGCAACGCTGTCTGTGAGGTGGTCAGTCACCGTGCCATCTGCCGCTGTCCACCTGGATACATCGGCGACCCATTCAGGGGCTGCCAAGTGCCCACCAACCCTTGTGACACTGACCCATGCGGTGATGGAGCCCTCTGTGAGCTGGACAACGGCAACCCCATCTGTGTGTGTCCCCGAGGAACCACCGGCAACCCCTTCGAGAAGTGCAGTGAGTACTGAGTCCTTCGCTATAGGTGTAGCATCCCCGAGGTCTCCCTTCTCCCCACTCTAATATGTGGTTCTGTGTAAAAACAGTTGCATTTTTAAGTCCAGAAGATGGTGTGATGAGCTTACTGTACTTCCCATTGTCTTTACCTTTGACATCACCTTTCTTGCCTAGAAATCATCTCAAGGTTGTCACCTTTCATTCACAGTTCCTGAAGGTGAAGACTGTGAACCCAACTCATGCGGCCCCAACTCCGGGTGTCGGATGGTGGGCGGCGTCCCCATGTGTTTCTGTCTGCCAGAATTTGTGGGCAACCCTCCGAGCGTCCCCTGCAGCCCACCAGCCAACCCCTGTGAACCTTCACCCTGTGGACCCAACACTGCCTGCAACGTGGTTAATGGCTTCCACAGGTGCACATGTCTGCCAGGCTTTGTGGGTAAGCCCAACACTATCCGAGGCTGCGAAGAACCAGCCAATCCGTGCGTGCCGTCACCCTGTGGCTCAGGAGCAATCTGCGACGCTGACAGGAGCCCCTTCTGCTTCTGTCGTCCTGGCCTCGTTGGTGACCCCTACACCGGATGCAGAGGTCAGTCCCCATAACCGGTATTTGTTTTTCGCTTTTGATTATTTGTGAAGTCATTTTTGTATTCAGAACAGAAGCTGGAAATAATATCTAATAACATGAGTTTGTATCCTCCACACAGAACCCCCTCCGACCTGCACCTCAGGAGTCTGTGGCCAGAATGCTGAGTGTTATGTCCGCAGCAACAGTCTACAGTGCCGGTGTCTCGATGGATACGACGGAGACCCACGGGCGCAGTGCCTCCCTAGGCCAGGTAACCCTTGTGAGCCCAATCCATGTGGTGCCAACACCCAGTGCAGGGTGGGCAACAACAACCGCCCTGTGTGCACCTGTTCCCCGAGCTTCTTCGGTGAGCCAGGCTCAGAGAAGGGTTGTAGACCTGAATGTGCTGTGGATGACGACTGCAGCTTAGACCTAGCATGTGTCAACACACGTTGTATCGACCCTTGCCCCAGCGCCTGTGGCATTAACTCGCTGTGCGAGGTTAATACCCACCGCCCAGTGTGCTACTGCCCCGCCGGGTTTAAGGGAAACCCTTACACGCGGTGTGAGGTGGTGTCTGAGCCTATCCCACCTAAAGAGGGGGTTACCTCCAGGCCCCCTCACCCATGTGTGCCGTCCCCGTGTGGACTTAACACCAACTGCCACGTGGAGGACTCCCAGGCTGTCTGCTCATGCGTCGACGGCTATATCGGTGACCCCAAAGACCGCTGCCGTCCTGAGTGCGTCAGCAACGCAGACTGTGATGACGATGAGGCATGTATCGACCAGAAGTGTGGTGACCCTTGCCCAGGTCTTTGTGGCACCAACGCCTTGTGTGACGTCGTTCACCACAACCCCATCTGCTACTGCCCCAGTAACCTTGCCGGCGACCCCTTCAGGTTCTGCGTCACCAGACGTGAGTGTTTAATTTCCCATTTGGGGAGGAAGGAGGCAATGGCGTCCTCACAGGCCCATACTTTCTTCGTCCCCGCCGTACACTGTATTGACCACAGGTGTGTGTGTGTACCAGCTTCCCTGGGCTCTGCGGCCTAATTTTGATGAGGCTTGGTAGAAAATCCTCCTCGTCCAGGGGAGCGTTGTAAAGGGTAATACATCTCCATCTAGTTTATGTCTATGGTGGAATACTTAAACCTGCCATAAATTTCACCTCTGTCATTTACGAGTTGACTGCCGGTGGTACAATAAGTAGGAAACACACTGTCTAACAACCTCTCTTTAAAGTACTGATCCACATGAGATGTTTAAACTTACAGAACATAACTGATGTGTGAAGCTTTAGTACTGCCAAAAGTTCCCCATACCTGACACCTGCTCTTACGGCTCCTGTCTATCACCTTTACCTCCTTGTTACAGTTCTGTTCACTCTGGATCACTGGTGCTGAACCTAACTTGGTCGGCACACCCCTTATAGTCTGTGTGAAATGTTACGTCATTCGGTCAATTGTATTTATTTTTCTGAAATAAACTTTGTGGATCATCAAAAATAAGATTCATAGGACATATTCTCTATAGGCTCAGTATACCTTTGGCTCCTCGAATAGTATCTTATGTACCCCTGGTGAAGCTTAACCTGCCCCCTGACCCTTACTCACTCTTTGTCAGTTCTCCCTGTGTTTATAAGTTTATGACTCACCTTCCCTCAATAGAATAGTACACTATCACACTATCTCCATACCATAACTACTCTGACAGCACACAAGATTATATCAAGAACACCAAAATATTAATGATATTTTGTTTGTGTATGTCAGCACCCACGCCTGAAGCGCCTCCGTGTGAACCCAACCCCTGCGGTCCCAACTCTGAGTGCCGCCCTACAGCACACAACAAAGACCATGTGTGCTCCTGCCTCCCCGGGTTCTTTGGCTCCCCTTGTCGCCGCCTGCAGTGTACCATCAACTCTGACTGCCCCCCGAGCAAGGCTTGCGTCAACTTCATGTGCGTCAACCCGTGCCCGGGATCTTGTGGCCTCGAGGCTCTCTGCAGTGTCGTCGCCCACAATCCCATCTGTAGGTGTCCAGACGGCCTAACTGGCGACCCCTTCAACCGTTGCTACCAAAAGGGTAAGTCCTCCACCATCACTTACCTTTGTCCATACCTTAGGTTCATAGTCATGGTCTTATCTTCAGCTCGAGATTCTTGTGGGTTATGTCTGAAGCCTGATGGGAATATTTAGTGACCTTTTAAAGTAAGAGGTGACGGAAAGTTTTGGACATATGTTTATGTTTTATGATGTATATATACAGAAGTGCCACAGGAGCCAACTGATCCTCAGCCCCCGGCACCGCCCTCACCGCTGTGTTCACCCTCGTGTGGTGATAACGCTGAGTGCCAGATTGTGGATGGTGTAGGATCCTGTGTGTGTTTAAGTGGGTACTATGGTCGTCCTGAGCTGGGGTGCACGCCAGAGTGCATCATCAACTCCGACTGTGTCAACACTCGCGCCTGCATCAATCAGCGCTGTATTGATCCCTGCCTAGGGGCTTGTGGTGTGGAGGCGTTCTGTAATGTGGTCAACCACAAACCCATCTGCGCGTGCCGTAAAGGCTACGTCGGTGACCCCTTCAGGCTGTGCCGCCCTGCACCTCACCCGCCTGGTAGGGTCCACTTCTCACACATCCATCTTTTCCTCAATAGCCATTACTGTGTTTTTATATGAATTAAATTGATAGATATTTGATAGGTGTGTCATGTTGGTTCTCACTTGTACATCCCATATGTACTTTACAGTCACCCCAGTGCCGTGCCAGCGCTCCCCCTGTGGAGAAAATGCACGCTGTACTAATAGAGGCACGGAAGGCGTGTGTACGTGCCTCCCAGGCTTCTTGGGTAATCCGTACGCGCAGTGCAACCCCGAGTGTGTGGTGAGCAGTGACTGTGCGATGACCCAGGCGTGCATCAGTCAGAAGTGCCGCGACCCTTGTCCCGGCACTTGTGCCAATAATGCTCGCTGCTCCGTCATCAGTCACAACCCTGTGTGTGTGTGTCCTTCTGGCTACAAGGGTGACCCCTTCACCGCCTGCACACCAATACTACCCATTCGTAAGACATCACATGAACTTCCTTCACAGCTGGGCTTCTGAATTGCTCGCCACCTTCCTTCACTTGTTGACTGCTCGTATAGAATGTACTGGTTGATGATTATATCACATTCTTTAGTCTGTTAACCTTACAAGTAATGCTTTAATCAATGTAAAAATTACCATTTGTTGTGTTTGATAGAGTACAGAACATGGTTTACAAGGACCATGTTCTGGGGTTGGTGCGACTGTTCATAAGCCCTCTTGTTGACTATTCCTCGTGTAGTGATGTCTATATATTTGCCGTCTGTATCGGTCCTAACGTGAGTCACCCGGACGAAGCACCTTATTCTCTATTTTTCTCTCCCTTTCCTTCCTCCCTCACACCCCCTCTTGCAGCTACAATACCCCAAGACAAGATCAACCCCTGCGTGCCAGACCCCTGCGGCCCCAACGCTGTCTGCAGAGTTGGAGGCGACGTGGCGGTGTGTGAATGTCGCCCAGGAACCTTCGGAAACCCTAACGTGCCAACGGGATGCAGATACGAATGTTTGACTAACACCGAGTGTCCGATGACCCAGGCGTGTATCAACCGTCGGTGTATGGACCCGTGTGTTGGGACGTGTGGTCTTCAGGCCCTGTGTCAAGTGATAGCTCATAACCCCAGGTGTCGTTGTCCTGATGGCTTCCAAGGGGACCCCTACTACAGCTGCACCTACAGTAAGGGCTCCTCCTGCTTACGATGTTCTGCTCTCATATATTGGTTTACTGTTTCTCTGTTTATGTAATCTTGAAGTCGTGCATATTGTGAATGTGGTTGACGTCTTGAATTACTACTCCAGCCCCGATCTTCGTGTCACCTGAGTCGGAGCTCCCCACGGAAATTCCGGTGGAGGACAAGGACCCCTGCTTGAGTTCCCCATGTGGGCCTTACGCCAAGTGCTCCAGTAGGGATCACGTCTACACATGCACCTGTGAGCCTGGATACTTCGGCAACCCTTACACCGGCTGTGTCCCCGAGTGTATTGTCAACTCAGGCTGCCCTGCCATCAAAGCCTGCATCAACCAACACTGCGTGGACCCCTGCCCTGGCTCCTGTGGGCTCAACTCTGAGTGCCACGTCCTGAGGCACCAACCCAACTGTTACTGTCCTGCAGGATACACCGGCGACCCTTACTCCCGCTGCTTCGTCGATACACGTAAGGAACCAAACACCCCACACCGCTCTTATGCAGTATCTTCAGACAGCCATTTTCACGGACCACTTCCAGACCTTAAACGACCATTTTTACGGGACACTTTTATACCTTTGACGACCATTTTTACGGACAACTTTCAAACCATGGACGACCATTTTTACGGGACACTTTTATACCTTAGACGACCATTTTTACGGACAACTTTCAAACCATGGACGACCATTTTCACGGACAACTTTCAAACCATGGACGACCATTTTCACGGACAACTTTCAAACCATGGACGATTATTTTCACGGATCATTTTTGTTTTTTTCAGTTCTCTTTGACTCTCCTTTCTATATGTCTCTCTCTCTCTCTCTCTCTCTCTCTCTCTCTCTCTCTCTCTCTCTCTCTCTCTCTCTCTCTCTCTCTCTCTCTCTCTCTCTCTCTCTCTCTCTCACTCTTCTCACTCTCTCACACACTCTCTCTCTCTCACACACAGCGGACAAGCCACCTCTGCCTGAAACACCATGTCAACCCGACCCCTGCGGACCCAACTCCAGGTGCCAAGTTGAGGAGGGGCGACCCGTGTGTTCCTGCCTCCCTGGGTTCTTCAGCAGACCTCCTACGTGAGTATTGGATAGACAGATGGATGGCTAGTTGGATAGATAGATGGATGGATGGATGGATGGATGGATAGTTGGGTAGATAGGTGGATGGATGGATAGTTGGGCAGATGGATGGATGGATAGTTGGATAGATAAATGGATGGATAGATAGTTGGGCAGATGGATGGATAGTTGGATAGATGGATGGATAGATGGGTAGATGGATGGATAGTTGAATAGATGGATGGATAGTTAGATAGATGGATGGATGGATGGATAGTTGGGCAGATGGATGGATAGTTGGGCAGATGGATGGATAGTTGGATAGATGAATGGGTGATGGCTCGATAAAAGAAAGGGAGACGGACATAAACAGACAGGGAGGGAGACAGACAAATGGACAGGAAGAAATACAGACACCGAGAAGACAATGAGAGAGAGAGATGGACAGGTAAAAAGAGAGAGAGAGAGAGACGGACAGGTGAAGAGAGAGACGGACAGGTAGAGAGAGAGAGACGGACAGGTAGAGAGAGAGACGGACAGGTAGAGAGAGAGACGGACAGGTAGAGAGAGAGACGGACAGGTAGAGAGAGAGACGGACAGGTAGAGAGAGAGACACATAAAAATAATCGTGGTGCCAATCTCTTCTCTAGGTGCCAGCCAGAGTGTATCCTCAATTCTCGGTGCCCCTCGACCCTGGCCTGTATCCACCAGAAGTGCGTGGACCCATGCCCTGGGGTGTGTGGTGAGGGCGCTAACTGTGAGGTAGTTAACCATAATCCTATCTGTAGCTGCCCCAGGGACCTTACCGGCGACCCCTTCATCCGCTGCTTTAAACGTGAGTAATGACTTTTATTTTTTATATATTTTTTTTCGTTGATGTGTTTGTAATGTGAGATTGGAACTAATATCTCCATCTTTGGTTGGTCTACCTGTGACGATCTGATGCTGCAGTTAACAGGTGAGTACAGTATTAACCCGTGTTGAGAAGAGCACCGTGTGGTCCTGTTGAATGTGCAGCAGTGGAGTTAGTGGTCCCGTGTAGTGTGGTGAAGCTGTGAGGTCCAGTCAACAGTGTAACTGTGCAGTGTTATGGAGCAGCTCTACAGTTATGTATGTGTGTGTGTGTGTGTGTGTGTGTGTGTGTGTGTGTGTGTTTTGCAGTACAAGACACTAAGCGGTGAGTGTGTCATCCACAGCGCCTGAGAGCCCACCGGCCGTGTCTAGTCCATGTTCGCCCAGCCCTTGTGGGGTGCACGCCATGTGTCGTAGCGAAGGGCGCCGCGCTGTGTGCACGTGCCCGGACCCCCTACAAGGTGACCCGTATGTGATGTGCGCACCTGAGTGTCAGACGGATAACATGTGCACCAACAACCTGGCGTGTGTGCGGCAGAGGTGCGTGGACCCTTGCCCCGGGGCGTGTGGGCTCCTGGCCACATGCCTCGTGTTCAACCATCGCCCCGTGTGTACATGCCCCGAAACGTTGAGAGGCGATCCCTACTCTGCGTGCCGCCCTTCCCTCGCCCCATGTGAGCATGTCTCCTCCCTGCATGACCTTCTCTTTATCTTGTGTAATACTGCATGATCTATCACCTACTCTTGGCATGTAATACTGTTGTAGTGTTCTAGGCATTTGTTATACTCACTCTACCTGTCCTTGCATGACTCTTTACAATGATCCTTCCTACATAGCGACAGACAAGTCGCCGTGTAGTGCTGGAGGTCTGTGCGGGGACAACACAGAGTGCCGGGTAGTGGGGGGCGCTGCTCTCTGTACCTGCCAGCCCGGCCTGGTGGGCAATCCTCAGCTGGACTGTCGTCCTGAGTGTGTCATCAATAATGACTGTCGCTTTGATGCCAGCTGCCGTGGCCACAAGTGTGTGGACCCTTGTCCGGGTACTTGTGCTGACGACGCCCTATGCCAGGTAGTGCAACACCAACCCCGCTGCTCCTGCCCCCCCGGCCTGCTGGGTGACCCCTACTCCCTCTGCTATTCTCCCCGTGAGTTTTCTCTTTTTCTCACAACCTTTAGTTAGTAGATTCTTGCCTGTGTAGATACACCTGTTTATATCCTTCATTTATACTAAACTAGTGTAAGTTAGTGCATGACGTGCCTGATGACCCCTGTGTGTGTGTTCAGCTACGGCGTCTGTGGCAACGTCGCCGTGTTCACCGTCACCGTGCCTACCATGGGAGGTGTGCACGAGCCAGGGTGGCGCCCCACTCTGCCTGGAGTGTGTGGTCAACAGTGACTGCCCCAGCCACCTGGCGTGTACTGCCCACAGGTGCACTGACCCTTGCCCGGGCGTGTGTGGGCCGGGCGCCCAGTGTGTGGTGGTTACCCACAGCCCCGTGTGTCGCTGTCACCCGGGCCTGCTGGGTGACCCTTACAAGCAGTGCTCGCGTCCCATACGTCCTGTGCCCGCGCCCGCCAAGCCCACGCCCTGTGTGCCCAGCCCTTGCGGTACCAACGCTCGCTGCCAGGTCAAAATGGACCGCGAGGTGTGTATCTGTGCCCCTGGCTACTTCGGCAACCCAGTCCTTGGTTGTCGGCCAGAGTGCGTGGTGCACACAGACTGTGCAGTGCGGCTGGGGTGCGTGAGGCAGCGGTGCATCAACCCATGCCCGGGTACATGTTCCCCCGAGGCTCAGTGCACAGTGGTGAACCACCGCACAGTATGCACGTGCCCCGCCGGTCACACAGGAGATCCCTTCGTAAGATGTCGCCCCTTACCCCAACTGCCTCCACCTACTGCATGTAAGCATCTTTCCTTTTCCGTGTCTTCTCTTACTGTGGCACATTATGCATGACTATATTTGTATTTATAGCTTGTGTTAGAAAAAGACAATAAAGGTATGTATGTGTGTCAGCTCCCACAGTGATGGGGGAAAGAGACCCGTGCTCGCCAGGGCCCTGTGGTCCCCGCACCCAGTGCCGCGTGTCTGCCAGCCTCGCCGTGTGTGCCTGTCTGCCGGGCCTGGTGGGTAACCCCTACCTCGGGTGCCGCCCAGAGTGCCAGCGGGACCTGGACTGTCGGCTAGACAGATCATGCCAGCAACAGCTGTGTGTGGACCCTTGCCCTGGCACCTGTGGCCGCCGCGCCTCCTGCATGGTCCTCAACCACCGCCCTCAGTGCTCCTGCAAGCCTGGCTACTCCGGCGACCCTTACTCTGCCTGTTCTTTCTATACACGTATGACTCTTCTCTTTCTTTGCAGTATTCTACCTAACCATTTGCACCTGATCTCAATCAGTATTTTCTCAGCATTTTCCTTTTTAGAATTTGCATGATATGTTAATAGCATGATGTAGTATTGTTGTAACATGCATGACCAGTATGGTTAACCTAATGTGTTAATTGCATGCCTTCCCCAACAGCTCCCGCCCCAACCCCTACCTCCCCCTGCGATCCGTCCCCCTGTGGTCAGTTCTCAGAGTGTCGTGACGTGGGTGGCCGGGCAACCTGCTCCTGCCTGCCGGGCTACCTGGGCTCTCCACCTAGGTGTCACCCAGAATGCGTTGTCAACAGCGAGTGTTCGTCACAGAATGCGTGTGTCAACCTCAAGTGTGTTAACCCGTGCGTTGGAGCGTGTGGTGTAGAGGCGGAATGCCGCGTTCTCCAGCACAGCCCCGTGTGCTCGTGTCGACCACAGTACACAGGAGACCCCCTCACTCTCTGCTCCCCAGTACCTCCTCGTAAGCATCGTCTTCTTTTCCTCACTTACGATTCTCAAAGATTTGTATGTTGAGTGTGACTGAGGGTGAGAGCGTGGAGCTAACATCATTTCAGTGACAAGTTTGTGTCGTTTCCCAAATGAGTTAGATACGCCGCCACGCCCTCGGATAAAAGAAGATTTAATGTGCGAATCTTTGAGAATATTGGCAGTGGTGTTGAGCGCTAAGGGGCGAGGTGGTGGATATCGCTAGCGACCTTCTGCACTATCATCTTAACGTACCTGACAAACTACCTTCACTTTTGGTGTCCTCAAGTCACATCACCGTCACACTTTATTGGAGTTGTTTAGTAGTTGAGTCACGCCGCCTCATTAACGATAGATCACTGAGGTTTAAACTAAGAGAGGATGATGTGGTTGGTTTCAGAGGCTTTCAGTCCTTTCCAGTTGCTCTTTAAGATGAAGCGCGTGTGATATCCAAGGGCCAGCACCGAGGCCCTCAACACCACACACTGTACTATGAGGGGAACACCCGCCCATGAGTATTAGTCCACTGTGACCCACTGTTCCATCATTATAATGGGTCGTGTGTTCCAGCGCCACCACAGCCGTCCCTGCCAGCCGTGTTCGACCCCTGTGTACTGAGCAGCTGTGGCACCAACGCCAAGTGCTCGGTACAAGATGACGTGGCTGTGTGCTCCTGCCCACCACACCACTACGGCAACCCTTACGTGGCGTGCAAACCGGAGTGCACCGTTGACTCTGACTGTCCTCGGTACCTGGACTGTGCTAGGAACAGATGTGTGGACCCGTGTCCAGGGGCATGTGGCATTAATGCTCTGTGTGACGTGCTGAACCACCGGGCCACCTGCACCTGCCCCACAGGCTCCGTCGGCAACCCCCACACGCGCTGCAACCCTGTGTTGACATCTACTCGTAAGTCTCCCATCATGACGCTTTCAGTCATGAAAGTTTTGAAAAATAAAATGTCTATTTTTTTTTTCGAAACTACAGCTGGAAAATTTGTATTTGTACTGAACAAACAAAGGCGTAGAGAACACACAGCAGCTCTCAAGATAGTCGGCTAGTCTTAATATATAACAGTACCATTAAACCATTTAGTTCTCCGGGTAATTTAAACCAAACTTCTCTTAAACTTGGTTAAACTCCCCGAGGGTCGCTTGGCTCCACCAGGTTAGGTTCTGCTAAAGATAAATGATGGTTTAATGACCAGTATTTCTGTAACATTTGGGTAACATTGACCATTTTACCAGCAGTTCGGGTGGTTGAATCACCTGATCGTGACTGTGCTTGTCAGCAACTCACAACAACAGCTTTGGCGGGAACTCCTCCTGTTGTCTTACAGTTCCTTCCATCGACTCTTCAGAGTCAATAGTATCAAAGATTGCTACGTTATTTTAGTTTTCTCTTCCTGAAAAGAGAGGGAAGAAAACCCCTGTGGCTCTGCTATACCCTTAGTGCAGTGCTCACACCATTTTATCTTCCTTTACACAAGCTAGTTAAGTGGTCATCAAACCATCTATAAATACCTGTCGAACTGTTGTTTAGGTCATGGTAACTACCTTGTTTATCCCGCTGGAACAATCACAGTACCTGCCTCTTGATGTTCAAACGTTCAAGTTGTTTGTTTGCACACTACTGCCACTGACATCTTTACACAGATCTTATCCATCCGATTATTTTGTTTTTTAATAAGCAAAGCAATCCGACTAGATCCGTCTACGGCAGCGAACGTAAGAAATAAGACACGTGAAACTGTTCTCTGTTCACATATGACCGTCCTGACCGTAACTTGTCAGTAATTCATAGACAGGTGAGTGAGATCTTACCGTAGTTGACGCCTGAGAAATAGTCTCTGATAATGTTAGCGTAAATCTGGACTTATGTTAGTTATTTTGGTCATGCTCAAGTGTTTGTTACTTGAGTGAGGCAGATGATTCAAACATCTTAACTACATCTTACGCACCAGCTTCTTGAAGGAGAGCCATGGTATTACATCGCAGGTAATGCTCTCTACTGTTTCGTCACATTGAGGGTGTGTGTCTGTAGCCGTTCTGGAAACTGTAGCATAATGCGTCAGTCTGTGTGGTGAGGTCCTGTGTGTTCTCTTCGCCACGTGTTGTTGTGCGGGATTGGGCGGTATTTTGCGAGTTATGGTAATAACCGTTGAGAGATGTCACGACAGCTGTGCCGGAGAGTGACCCATGCCACCCATCGCCATGCGGGGCCAGTACATCGTGCCGGGTAGTGGGGAGTCGCCCCGTGTGCTCCTGTCTGCCGGGGCTGTTCGGGGACCCCACCAAGCTGTGTCGCCCTGAGTGCATTACCAGCCAGGAGTGTGGCCATGATGAAGCATGTGTGAGGCATGAATGTGTGGACCCGTGTGTCAGCAGCTTGTGTGGTGGCTACGCCTCTTGTAGGGTGGTGCTGCACTCCCCCGTCTGCTCCTGCACCCACGGCTACACCGGTGACCCCTACCTCCACTGCCACCCTGTGTCTTGTAAGATAAATCAACCTTCTCTTTCTTAGTTTTTAACTGCATTTTGTTCTAGTTTATAGTATATGGTAGCATGTTATTGTTCCCTGTGTTGTAGCTGTCACATGAGCATAGTAGCATGTGTCATGACCCAACAATCAAGTTTCTTAGTAGGAGCATGAATTTGTGAGTGAGCATGTTGACAGGATGTCTGATGAGGAGCATGTAATGACAGGTCCACTCCTTCCCCTTAGCGGTGGTGACTCCAAAGCCGCCGGTCCATCACCCGTGTGCCGGGGACCCCTGTGGGCCTAATGCCATATGTCGCGAGGTTAACAGACAGCGCCAGTGTTTCTGCCAACCCGGGTACGTGGGCCGCCCGCCTACATGTCGGCCAGAGTGTTTGGTGCACGCCGAGTGTCTCGCCACCCAAGCCTGTATCAACAATCGTTGTGTCGACCCCTGCAAGGGCACCTGTGGTGTTCACACTGAATGTCGCGTCATCAACCACGACCCCATCTGTAGCTGCCTGCCGGGGTACACGGGGGATTCCTTCACCCGCTGTACCATCGCCCCTACCCCGCCACCCAGGCCCGTCATCACACCAACACCTCGACCACTACCACCTATTGCTGGCACACAACCACCCGGCAGTGAGCCAGTCATAGTAGCAATCCCAGGAGACCCGACGATCACCCAGCAGCCACTGGTAATCATTCCTCAGCCGCCCGCACCCCCTCCCACCATACCCTGCCTGCCTGACCCCTGTGGTGCCAATACCATCTGCCGGGAACATGTCGACACCTACTTGTGTGAGTGTCGCCCAGGGTACTACGGCAACCCTGATGTGGGGTGTAGGCCGGAGTGTGTCCTCAGCACCGACTGTGACAGCGGCTATTCTTGCATCCGTCACAAGTGTATGAACCCCTGTCCAGCTGCCTGTGCCTCCACCGCCGTCTGCACCGTCGTGAACCATGGTGCTACCTGCAGCTGTCCACCACACCTTCAGGGTGACCCATATATTCACTGTGCCCCCTTGCCCATCATTGGCTCCACCCCGTGTAAGACACCTTGTTCCTCTTGTTGTGATAATGATAATGTACCTGCACGGTAGATAATTGTAATAGATTGCATGTTTATCGAATGACTTTTCATATATTTCTTATAAAATGATCTCTTATGCCTGAACCTTGTTTAGCATGTTGGTATAATGCATATTGCAGTCCCGCCGCCGGTGACCCCCGTGGTGAAGGAGCCTTGTGCTCCTAACCCCTGTGGCCAAAACGCCGAGTGCCTCCCCAACAGCGGTGAGTGTCGCTGCCTACCAGGCTACTTCGGCAACCCCTACTTCAAGTGTGAGCCAGAGTGCACCACTGACCCCCAGTGTCCCTTCCATCTGGCCTGTGTCAACCAGAAGTGCATCGACCCGTGTCCCGGCACCTGTGGCAGAAACGCCGAGTGCCAGGTGGTCAACCATGACCCAGTCTGCTACTGCAGGCCGGGCTACAGTGGTGACCCCTACGAAGCGTGTCGTGTAGAGATAAGTAAGCATGTTGTCTCTCTCTCTGTCCATCACTTTCCACTTATGGACTGTCTATAGTCTCTCTTAGAATATTTCCATGGCTGTGTTACGTCATCATGGCGTGTGTTGCCCGCTCTCATTCATGCACCGTCTTGTTCTCCCTCTCATCAATACAGCACCACATTACTGTCATCAGTTTGTTTTACGTAGTTGTGATGCCAATTTAGAGTTTGTTATTTATTGTGTGTTTGTTAGAACTAGTAGTTTATTTTATATGCATGTTGTAGCAACACCCACAAGGCCGGAGGACCCCTGCACCCCGAGTCCCTGTGGACCCAACTCCAGGTGCCATATGGTGCATAGTCGGCCCGTGTGTGAGTGTCTCCCGGGCTACTATAACAGCCCACCCAACTGCCGACCAGAGTGTATTGTCAACGCAGACTGTGTTACAGTCAAGGCCTGTGTTAACCAAAAGTGTCGTGACCCCTGCGTGGGCACGTGTGGCACTGACGCTCAGTGTGAGGTGACGAACCACAACCCCATCTGCTTCTGCCCTTCCCACCTCACCGGCGACCCCTTCGTCCGCTGCTATGAACACCGTAAGTATTTTTATCTATTGTCAGTCTCACTAGCACTTACTGAACCATCTGGAAAGGTAAGAACGCCGTCGCGCCTCTCTTCATAAACTAATATCAATTGTTGTGAAACTTTCAGCTGTGAGTCCTTCCCAGGAGGACCCGTGTGTGCCAGACCCTTGTGGTCGTGGAGCAGACTGCACCGAGAAGGCAGGTGTAGCTGTGTGCACGTGTAAGCCTGGACTGACGGGTAACCCCTACGATATTTGTCGACACGACTGTGTGGTTAACTCAGACTGTGCTCGCGATAAGGCGTGTTCTCGCAATAAGTGCGTAGACCCGTGTCCCGGGGCATGTGGGGTGAACGCCGAGTGTCGTGTGTCTCACCACAGTCCCTCGTGCACCTGTCCACCTCACCTCACGGGCGACCCATTCTCACGCTGTGTCCTCGCCACCACCAGTAAGCCCCTCACTTCTCACTCGCATGCTTCTTTACAGCCAATTGCATGTTTAATCTCAGATTGCCTAATGTTCATAAAACTACCTGTGTAACATTCCAGAACTTTGCATCATAATTATATCTCTAATGTTCTCACCTTAGAGCTACATCTTTGTTTCTTAATGTTCTTCACAAGTTTACCT